TTTCTTTCCCACAGACGGCGCCAAATGTTTATGCAAGGGTTTGCACAACGGTTCTTCACGAATCAAGCTCGAAACCGGTCTCCAGTTCCGACCTGAACACTCGGGTGGACCTGCACAAGAGGGTAAGCACTCCGACGCTCAAGTCAGTATAGATCGGACTCCGTATTTAGTTCGAGGTGAGATTCGATACCTGAGCGTGAAATGAAGCCCTCTATTTATAGGTGATGGATCCGACAGTACACACGACCGGCGGTTATATGTCTTTTCTCATATCGGACCTGTCGGGTTCCGAGCAGGTCGGACCCCAGTCAGGTCGAACCTTGGTGCCCATACTTAGCCTTTCATAATGGGCGAACCCAGTCTCCTCGGCTGGRCCGAGGTGGACCTTGGCAATCCCTCTTATTCAGTTTCTTCAAACACCAATAAGGGTCCTCCACGTGTCTTGGGTATGTTTACCCCAAAACACAAGGTATACYCATTCCACCCTATCAAAAGCTCTGCTTAAGTCAAGCTTTAGAGTTGCAATGCCAATTGTTCCTGATTTCTGTTTTTTAAGAAAATGAAGGCACTCATGACCAATAATGATGTTATCCGTGATTGCTCGGTTAGGAACAAAGGCTGATTAAGTATCCGAAATAATGAGATCCATAATCCCTTTGAGCCGATTTGCAATAGCTTTGGTAACAATTTTATAAGATACATTGCAAAGGCTAATAAGTCTRTAATCCGAGACTGTCCTAGGGTTCTTGACCTTGGGGATGAGGGCGATGAAGGTATTGTTCCAATTACTAATACTCATGTGATTGTTAAGGCTATTTAGACAAGCTTCCATCGGTTCTTGACCGACAATGTTCCAGTAATGCTGATAGAATAAAGCTAGGAAGTCATCCGGACTTGGAGATTTTGTTGAATACATCTGCTTAACTGCCGTCAAAACTTCTTCCCTACCAAAAGGCGAAGAAAGCCTTTTGTTCCTGCTATCAGAAACCCGAGAAGGGACATATTTCACCATATCCTCAATGTCCTGCGTTGATGGCTGAAAGGAAGAAAAAATGGAGTTGAAGTAAGATAGAAAAGTGTTTTCCATCTCAGATTCTACCTCTGTCCAACTCTCATTTTGATCGAGAATTCCTCGAATAAAATTCTTCTCCCTTCAAAGAGATGTTTTTTTATGGAACCACCTAGTGTTGCGATCCCCCATTTAAGCCAATCTTCTCGCGAACGCTGTTTCCAATATATCTCCTCTACTTTAAGCAAACCCGCAAGGTCATCYTCCAATATCTCTTCTCGTCGAACAAATTGACACGACTAGTGAAACAGAAAATGTGAATGAACTTTAAAATTATATGTACATTAAATTTTGTTTGACGAGAAATTTACATTAATATGTGATGAGACTTCAGAACCCTAAGAGCATCTRCGCCAACCAAAAATCAAACAAAAAAATGTTTTGATGTATGCACAAATTATAATTTTTCAAACATATTTTAAATTAACAAACTATAGGAAAAAAATTGGAAAGTTATTCTATATAGTAGTTTCTTATAATAAAATTTTGAAACATTTACGTGAATAGCAAAAAAAATAAATATGTACTTACAAATATAATATAAAGTTTAAAGTTTTACTAAAACAGTATAATTCAAACTAAACTAAAATTCAAAATTAATAATAAATTATGATATCTTTTTAGAATACATATTAAATTTATGTCATCGAATAGAATTTCTCTAAAATTTTTAAACAATCCCTAGGATTGTATTCTAAAACAATTTTACGTTTTTAAAATTAAATTATTTTTAAGAATAGTATATGAGCGTAACTTAAAAAACTTAAAGAGTTACTGCATGTTTAAAATTATAACATACACTTTTATGGTTTTTCTAGAAGAAAATAAGCTTAGTTGTTCTAAAAAATTGTCATTAGGAAGAAAAGTAACTTAAAAAAAAAATGTTTACCTAAACATATTTAGGGAAATTGTAGTGGGCAGCASAAATATTTTATGTATCTCAAAATATGTCATCTGCTCTTTAAATTTTCAAATATACCAAAACTTTTCACTTATATCAGTAGTATATCAGCATATCAATAGTATATCAAACGCTCATATCAGTAGTATATTARATRTATATCACATATATATTGTTTAGACACTCATATAAGTAGTATTATATACATATCACATACATATTACAAGTATATCAGATGTTCATATTAGTATTATATCACACATATATTAGTAGTGATATATATTACAGATATATATCATTTGCGTAAACTTGTCATTTTAAAATTGACCTTCCGTTTTTTTTAAAGTGCTATATTTGAAAAAAACTAATTGTGATTGCTATTTTACTCATTCTACTAAATATTTTTAATGATAAATTTTATTTTAAGAATTAAAAAATTGGGTTTTGAAAAACACCTCTCCTAGAGCAATTCTCGTTAAATTTCAAAAAACAAAAATTAAATTCAGTTAAATTTTAAATTTTGGCTATATACTTTTATAAAACGACAAACTTCTCTTTAAAAATAAAAAATTAAAAGCAAATTAACTAGGGCCTAAATTTTGAAAATTTCTACATTGGTTTTGCATTAGTTCTTATCAGAAAACATTAGAATTTGAAAATTAAAAAAAAAAAAATCTTCTTCAACATCATTTACAAAATAAATTTAGGCCTTAAAAAGTTGTGATATGATGTGTAAACATTTTAATTTCAACAATTTAAATTATTAGAATTAAGATATGCTTCTTGCAAAAATCTTATTGGTGGAGATTCTTCCCCCACTAAAGAAAAGATCTTGAAAACATTTGCCATACATATCAAAATAAGCACAATTTTACAAAGACATAGTTAACATGATTTGATTGATACTTGACTTAGATACTAATAATTCTTGTGGTTTTATATTAATTTGTCCTAATTTTTTTTAATTTAAAAAATATATTTTTTCCTAATTTTGATTAAATTTTTGTTAGATATCCTTGTGATAAATTATTTCTAAACATTTAAAGTGAGTTTTATAAAATGACATTTTGTTTTAATAATGTGAGATGCGATAAGTCACGCAAAATATAAAATTAAGTTGAATCGTAAAACAKTATTTTGATTAGAAAAGTAGAAAAATAACTCAGRCTAATATTATTTTGAGTTCAATAATAAATAATATGGTACATTAAACTTATGGATGAATTATTTTCAAGTGTGGAGAAATTGATTTGATAGTTGCATTTTTTTGAGTGATTTGATAGTTGTTTTGTTACTTCTTACTAATGACAATAATACATTTTAATCTTTTAAAGTCATAAAAGCTAAATTAAAACTAAGATTGAAGTATAATGACTCAGATTTAATTTTATACAACTTTTCAATTATTTTTTCTATTTTATATAGAGAAACAAATATGATATAAAAAAAATATAGAGAGAGAGAAACAAATATACAATAAGATCTTATAAACATAATTATATTACAATTATAAACAAAAATAAATCCTTCTAAGAAAAACAAAAATAAAATCAAGAAGAGCATATACCTAGAAAGACAAAATCTAGCCTTAATCCAAGTTCCAAAATTGATCTAAACAATAACAATTTTCAACATTCCCAATTGATTTTTATTTTTTATAAAATGTGTCCTCCTAATTAACCAAATTTGTAGAGTGYGTGTGAGAGAGAGAATTTTTAATAAATAATAATAACAATAATTAAAGGTAAAAACAAGGCTTTATGGAGAAAGCAATAAATAAATAATTTTAAAAAATTAGAGGTGGGAGATAATATTAAAAAATGGCGTTTGTTTGGTAAGTAAAGTAGTACACATGGACAGACAAAAACATTGTCAAAGCACGAGAAGTTCACGTGCAACTCTGACTTATTTGTTTGTTCATTACAGCCCCACCATTTTTGTTTATTACAAAAAAGATCCCCACAACTTCTTACTTTGATTCCTGTCTCCTAAATTAAATATAATCAATCTTTAATTCCCAATGCATTTGTCTCTTTTTTTTATTTTAATTTTATTATATAAATTAATTAATGATTCTCTTATTTTTACATTCAACATAACTATTTTATTTTTTAGTACAATTTTTTTAATTAGTAAGGAAACAACAATTTTTTTTTTCATACAATTGATGAATTTTTTTAAAATTTTAGTTTCTATTTAGTAACCAAACTAAACTTCAAGCATGCTGAGACAAAGTTATTCCTTTAAATAACCTAGATTTGAATATTTACCATTTGTCTCAATTGCAATACTCCAAAAAAAAATTTAATTAAACCATGAGACATGTAATAAAAATTACTATTAAATTTAGAAATCAACTTTTATTATTAAATTGTAAATTGTTTATTTTACATTTGGTAGGGTCTCCTTATACATAATGAATGGATGTGCTTGCTTTTATTTCAATGTAAGGAAACTTCCCCATATTGACACAATCTGTTTGTACAAACCAATAATATAATAATAATTTAGAATTTATACTTACTTTCTAATATGATTTTTTCATTATATAAAAAGTATTGATATAACTCATTTATTTATTAAATATAATATGAATTAGACAAAAACTAAAAATAAGTGAAAACTTCTCCTCATTTTTATATRTGAAATGACATCTTTACATTCTCCCAAGGAGAGAAAATAATATCAAATTAAAAAAAGGGAAAATTATTTTATTTTATTTTTTCTTCTAGTTTATTGGAACTGAAGCAAAAATGGGAGGAACACAAGAAGAAGCAAGTTGGGGTTGCATTTGGTAAAGTGAAGCTTTAATTAAATATATCAAACATAGTTTAATGCACTAATTAATTAACCTTTCATTTAATTAATTAAATATTTATCAAATTGGAATCTTGGTCATGCATGGATAGTAATCATACCCTTTGAAATTTAGCTTCTTTATTATTGACCTTTAATTAAATATAAGCCTAATTAACGAAAAAGAATTTAATTGTTTGTTTTATAAAAAAAAAAAAATCATATTCTTTACATGGTTGAAAATATCTGAATCTTTATATGGTGGGATTTAGAAAATGTTAAGCTCAGGTAGGTCAGGATATGTCAGATTGCCAACACTCTCTACACAAAATGGTAACCCCTTTATTCAAAACATTCTGTTGTTTCTTTGTCTTGCTTCATATTCTTTTTTTGTCATTTATTTATTTGTTTTTGTTTTTTCCCTTGCAATTTTATTTTTAAAAGCTCTATAAATCTCTAAGGTCGGAAATAAAATATGTTACTGATTTTCATTTCAGCTATATAGCTAGTTAATAAAAAATGTTTTGTTATAAGCACAATCTTGTAGCAGCTTATCATATCAACAGCAGTAATTTTTTTTTAAGGTTCGCTTACTAGGTGGGTTTTAATTGAAAGCATACTCCATAATTAATAAGATATTTGAGGTAATAAAATTAATATCAAATTAATGGCAGAGAAATTTCCTTTTATTATTTTTTCTTTTTTTGTGGTAGCTTAAATTACATCTACTATTTCTATAATATGCTTTAACCAGTTTGAACTTATTTTTAAATTGATATATTTTGACCCACTCAAATTTTTTTTAGTATAACAAGTGGGGGTGGGGGTTGGAACTCATGACCTTTTGATCAGAGATAGGTGCCTTAACCATTTGAGATATACTTGGTTTGACAAAGACCCACTTAAATTTGATTAAGTATAATCCTGCAAAAATAAAAATACTTAAAGTTTTGAAAATAAGGAGAAAAAGACCCACTTAAATTTGATTAAGTATAATATGTAGAGTGGAGATTCGAACTCATAATCTTTTGATAAAAAATATATATTTTAATCAATTAAGTTAAGTGCGTACTACTCACATATCTATAATATTAATTTCGATATCAAATTAGTTGAATGAGATTAAACCACATAGACAATATATGCATGTATATCTCAAGATGTCACGTCCACCTTAAATGCCATGTTGATTTCCATTATTATATATAACTAATAGTAATAACTAGCATTGACATTTAAAATGACAAGACAATTATAATAAAGTATAATTAGATGAAGTTGAAAAAATTAAACAATAGAAAATTTCCCACTACTAGCTAACACTAAAAAAGTTTTCCTTTTGTTAATTTATTAATCCACCATGCAATTATTAGAGGGGGAAAATATGCATGAAACTTGTTAAAAGATAAGCTAACCTCATCAATTTATCCTTTTATTTCTTGTAAGACTCAACTCATGAAATCAGTTTCTTATGCTTGTTTAGTTGGATCCAACCGAAAAAAAGGGAAAGAAAACCCCAAAAGAAAGAACAAACAAAACTTACACACAAAAGAGAGGGCATGCCTTTTGTCATAAATAAAAACAATAACCTTTATCATGTCCAAGTTGAAGATGATGCACATACATCCCCAATTTCATTTAGGTTTAAATTAAATACTATTACTAACACACTGTACCTTTCAAAAATATCTATTTTACCAACGTGAGCTGAGTTTAATAATAATTGACACATGTCTTTGACTAAGAGGTCACAGTTTGAATCTCTCACTTCTTGTACTAAAAAAAATGATGATTTTAGTTCTTTCGTTTTCATTTCATCTCTTTTTTTCTCAATAACAATTTCAACACACAACATTGCACCAAATAAATATCTTCAAACATACTTAAACTTTGTACCTAAGAAATCGTGTTAAAATATTGGAAATACGAACAAAAGCGGCCACTTTTTGGAAGTACAGACACCAAAATGTAGGTTTCAAAAATACATATTAACCCAAAATAGTATTTAACCCTTTAATTAAATTTCAACCCACCACCCCCATTACCATTTTTACTTGGATGACCCCATCTTGTGGTGGGTGATGCCTACACAACCAAAACCAATAAAGAATGGAGAATGACACATGTAGAGGGACAGAGAGATAACATAGAAATTTTAGGGCATGCGTTTGTTTGGGTTTTGTTAAAAAATAGATGAATGGTTTGCAATTGAATTCTTGGTTTTGGGTAGGGCTACACTGTGTGTTTGTGGATTCCCCAAGGTGAAGGTGGGGTCTGAAAATTGGAGTTTGTCTGGTGGGTTTTGGGGACAGAGGCAGAGGGGCTTGATGGTCCATGCCTCCCCCATTTGGCTATAAAAAAAGAATCCCATTTCTCCCATCTCCCCAAACTCCAAACTCCAAAAACCAAACTCTCATTCATTAACTTTTCTCTCTTTTTCTTACCATCTCCACAAAACAACACAACACAGAGATCAGATCAGATCAGATATGAAGATGAACTTGAACAGTGGTGGGAGCTCCAAGAGGAGGCTCAATTCTTCTCCAACCAGAGGCTTTGGAGGAGTTCTTAGAGAGCAAAGGGCCAAGCTTTACATCATTAGGCGCTGTGTTGTCATGCTTCTTTGCTGGCATGATTGATTCTTTAATTAGCTCACAAGAGAGAAAATTCCATTAGGGTTTTCTGTTTTTTTTTTTCTTTTCTCTTTTTGGCTATTGTTATTATTAATTTTTTTAATTTTGGTGGAGTGTATATACAAGCGTTTTCTTTTGATTTGTTGACAAATTTTTGTAAGAGATTGGCCTTTTTGGGTCTGCAAGATGTGTAAATTAAAGGAGGAGAAGGAAAGAACTTGAAAGGAAACTTCAACTTTGGATCCACCTCTTTGATCTTCTTCTTCCTTTGCTTGTTCTTGAGTTTTGAGCATTTGGGTTTCAAGTTTTGAGAGGGAGAGGGGAATTCTGCCATGAATGAAAGTTTTTCATTTTGTTGAAACTGAGAAAACATTACCAAAATTTATGGCTTTCTCGACGGTATTTTTGCGACGCTCGAAAAGTCCTTTGGATAAGCTGTTTTGCCCGACGAAATCAATAACGTTGGGAAAGACTCACTTTTTCCCGACGTTTTTTGGGAGAAATAAGCGACCAACCGAAAAAGGTGAAAATTTTGGAAAAGCTATTAATTTGAGCAGTTTCCTTATTTCCCCAGTTGTGCACAGCTGAATTCAAAGCATGTGGATTTAGAAAAGCAAAATGGAGAGAAAAAACAGAAAGAGGTGTTGGATCCATGAGAAGAGGATAAAGAATCTTACAAATTAGTGTTCCCTTGCTGTTTTAATTTTCATTTTCCACTTTCCAGTACAAATTTTCACTGAAATTGGGCAATCTTTTACAAATTAATTTAAATTTAAGATATATATTGTATTCTCTCTCTCACTTTTAATGAAGAAATTTAATCACATCAGCATGTAATCTTTATTTTAAGAGTATTTTATTCTTTAATAATCTGGCACGAAACAAATTTAATTAAAAAGAAAAGAATGTGTATTGCTCAAAAAGGTAATAAAAACAAAATAAATAATAGAGGAAAAAATAGAAAAAGGGGAGGCACTTAGATTGGGTCAAAGTAGGTCCGTTAATCATTTAAAGTAGACATTATTTGTTATGATATGATTTATTTTCTCATTGGGAAAAGACTCCATTTCCCACAAACTTGCAAATAATTAATTCATTCATTACTTCTTTAATTATGTAATTAACTTCTTTCATTTATAAATCCGTACATTCGTTTGGATAAGATTAGATTAATGGTAAGCATGGTAAAAATTAAAATTAACCTAATCCAAATTGGTTATTTTACTTAAATAAGTTGTTCAATAATGTGGGTTTAAATTAATAATAAACCAAAAAAAGTTTGATGGAAAATTTTCAGCTACTACAAAGTATAGTACTTCTTCTATTTATTGTCTATCATGTAAGCATCCTATTAAAAATAATATAAAGTTTACGGTCTACCAACATTAAATGTCATGATACTCTAGTATTTGAAATTTTCTTTCAATATATTTGTTCAACAAAATTGGGTCAAGGTTGGCTCGGTCAAGATATGTTTACTTTGGAGAGCTTGAATGTATAGAATAAGTTGGAAGGCCGCTTGGCAAGGACATGCACAAGAGACCAAATACTTCGACGCTCAAATCAGTTTAATTCGACTTTAGGAGAGAGACCGAGCTAGAATGTGATACCTGAGAGGGTATCCGACAGGTGGAACGGCGGTTGGACATGTCGTACTAAATTAGTCAGCCTGTCGGGACTATGGGTAGGGAGACCTTCATCCTACTTAAGAGTCTTCATATCCAGTATTTAGTAAGTATGGAAGGTCGTTCCTCCCGTTAATGATCTTTAAGAAGATTTTCAAGTGGTCTCATCAAACTTTCAGACGGTTATGAAAGACCTTCCAGTAGTTTTTAGGAAAAAGTTTTAGACGTCTATCAAAAAAGATCTTCAAAGAGCTTTACGGAAGACGTTCAGATACACTTCAAGCAAGACTTTATCGTTGAAACTTACTTTACCATTCACGTGACAAGTCTATTTTTATCCTCCAAGCAATGTTTGGCAAATCGCTTTCGCGCTTGCCGTGGCTGTGGAATTTTGTGTCTTCAGCGGAGCAGGAACAACGTTAGGAACATAATAACAGCAATTCGTGGGAATGGAAAAAGAGCTCATCCAAACACGGTCTTCAAATTATTTTATTATTTTAATGATAATAATAATAATAATTATTATTATTGTAACATTATTATTTTTTAGTTTAGTGGTCAAAACTCGGATTGTAGGGCCCGGTGGGTTATTGCAAGCCAACAGGCATTCACGTGCGCCACGTGTACGGTAGTGATGGCCCCACTCGCAACAGTATTCCGTTTTGTCCCTTGCGATTCTTCGCTATTTACGATTTTAGCCATTCGAATTGAGATTCTCCTCTCTCCCAAATTTGAATTTTTGAAATATCAAAAGTACCCTTTTTGGATGATCAAAAAATTTTATCTTTTTATCTTTTTCTTTTTTACAGAACTTTCTGAAAAATCTTTTACTTGTTATATATAAAAAAGGAGTAATTAGAATATAAAATGCAGTAAAGACGTTTGAGGAACCAACTGTAGATTTAAAAACTAATGAAATGGATATTTAGAGAATTGCTTACGTATTCATTCAGATTCTTTTTCTTTTGGGAATAGTATTATTAACGAAAAGTTTTGATTGCTAAATTCTCAGAAATTCTTTTTGATTGAAAATAGTAAAAAAGATCTAGAGAAGATTTTATCTTTTTTCTTCTTTTATTTCAAGATTTTATTTTTTAAAAATTTTTATAGAATATTTATGATGTTCATAGCTTACCACTTACAAGTTTGTATAGCTTGTATTTAAGAACCTGTGGTCCTGGATAAGATTTTTTTATGTTTCACTCAAGGTTTTAAATAGTAAAAAATTGTAGACCACAAAAGAGTATTGGGAGTGACTAATAGATAAGTCTGGTGAAGAAGAACGTAAAAGAAGCATGATCAGCTTGACAGATTTGGGAAATGATGAATAAATCAATTTTCAAAGGTGTTCATCCAGAAACTAGAGACATTCAATTGGCGAGTGAGAGATGCATAATCAACAGTGCAGGTCGAAACACAAATCCAGAAGGGAAGTCAAAGGAGCCTGATGGAAACCTCCCATGTCAAATTCATGGAAATTAAATACGGATGCAACATGGCGAGCAGATACAAACACCGGGGGATTGGCTGGATTTTAAGAGACAAGAAGGGAGAAGTCATCAGAGTGCAAGCGGTAGAATTATAAGAGAGGAAAGAAATATTATTTACCTAGAGGTGATGGCTATTTGCCAGGGATTTTATGCGATTCGACAAGAACACCGTCTACCAATTCACTTAGAATCCGACTCCCTCAAAACGATTCATCTACTTCACAAACAGTGTCAAGATCAAACTGAAATTATTTGGCTTTTAAAAGAAATTTGGCAGATAATGGAAGATATGGAAATAGTTTCAATGAGGTATATCAGTCGATAGACAAATAAAGTGGCACATGGTTTAGTCAAACGAGCAATGAAAAATGATTTGAGGGAAGAGTGGAGTTGTCAAACTCCCTTGTGTCTAGACAATTTAGTTTTTTCAGAACTTGTTTTATGTTAAGTTATTTTCTTCTCATTTTCTAAAAAAATAATAATAATAATAATAATAATAATAATAAATAAATAAAATAAAACAAAAGTAAAAAATATTTAAATTAACCAATCAATATTTAAACCTTTCTAAATAAGTTTAAAATGATTAATAATAATATTAAATCTATATTAGTCATATTTTTATGATTTTTTTTATATTTGTCAATTTTTTTACAATAGTATAGAAATGTCGACTTACTCCTCAGGTTGATGTGGAATCCATGGACACATGAAAATRTCAATGTAAATGTTAACATGTTAACAGATATTTAATACCCATAGCCATACCCCATCTCCATAATATGTAATTTTCAAAATGTTACAATTTTTTTTTCAAATATAAAAATGTAATTTTTATCAGTCTATTTTGGTTTCACCAAAACAAATAAACTAAAAACCTCAGGTTTCTATTTGAAATTTAAATTTCACTTGCGTTTCAAAAGTTAACTTTCGTCTAGGGTTAATTTCATGTTTGGCACATGTTTGGGTCGTTGTGCCATCAATAGTCTTGTTTCGAATTGGCTGACTTGTTTGTGGGGAAAAGGAAGCGCCTCGTGAGCCTCATCAAAGCACAATTGTGACAATTGGTATTAGAGCCTAGTTGACTCCTCGTGTTGGAAAACAACGACCATGTCGAGGACAATACAATTGAGCAAGACCTACGTTGACAAACTTGTTGAGATTGAGGAACAACTGCTATTCCTGAGGAAGTTTCAGACAATCTTCGATATGTTGAATCTTCGATGGATGAGATCTCCAACAAAGCTGGCATAATTGATGTCGTGAATGCCAGTATAAATGGGCTTGCTATACGTGAGTTGGTGTTGAGGGTGAGACCCTAGAGGACAAGGTTAAACGAACTGATAACTTTAGATGTGGTGAAAACTCGTCGAGTTTGATTGCCCACATGGAGGAGCGCGTCAGAGAATTGGACACCTCCTAGAGATATATTCTATCAATGGTCAGTGACCAAAGATTTCAAGACCGCCATTGATGTTGTTGTAAAGGGGCAGAAGTTGCTGATTAAGTATCAAGAAAAATCTCATGATGAGAGCAGTTGTAGACCAAGTCGTAGTAGGGGGAACTTTTCAGTTCAATAAGGTTAAAGTTCTAGAGCCCAGTAGCTCGACCTTTCACGACTTAAATTGTTTAGAAACGTTACTACATGAATTTTAATTACATTTAAATCATTTAAAAATAATAAATAGTAAATTATACTTTCATAAAATAACTTTACAAAATAATTAAAAATTTAATTTGGGATCTTACAAAAATTTAGATAAAACATAATAATAAAATAAAACTTTTAACAAACAATTGAAATAATAAAAACAAATGTGGAAGAAAACTCATGGCAAAACCAACAACAACAAGGTCTTTTTTCCTTTCTTTTTTTTCTTTTTAATTTAGGAATTATCATAATAGATATTTTAATTATCCTTTATGTTAAACCAAATAGTTTTACATAGTATAATTTAAATAATAAAAGATTCTTATGGTCAATTAAAAAATATTCAAATTGTCAATTATCTTACATATAAAAAATTTACCAAATATATAGGGCGTTACACTAATATTTTAAAGCGACAAGCACCATGACAAAAGAATCGAAGATCACTTAGGCCACGATGTATCTAGCTGACAATGCTAAACGGTGGTGGAGATCCATATATGTGCGGATGTCAAAGAGGGCCGAT